GGAGGAGGAGGACGAGGGAGGAGAGGAGATGAGGAGGAGGAGGAGGAGGAGGAAGGAGAAGGAGGAGGAGGGGGGGAGGAGGAGGACGAGGAGGAGGAGGAGGAGGAGGAGGGAGGAGGAGGAGGAGGAGGAGAAGGAGGAGGAGAGGAGGAGGAGGAGGAGGAGGAGGAGGAGGAGGAGGAGGAGGAGGAGAGGAGGAGGAGGAGGAGAGAGGAGGAAGGAGGAGAGGGGAAGGAGGAGGAGGAGGAGAGGACGAGAGGAGGGAGGAGGAGGAGGAGGAGGGAGGAGGGGAGGGGAGGGAGGAGGAGGAGGAGGAGGAGGAGGAGGAGGAGGAGGAGGAGGAGGTCTCCTCCCCGTGCCGCCCCGCCCTGCCCCCTCTGCCCCCCGCGCCCCTGCCGCGCCTCCTGCCCCCCAACGAAGGAGGCCTCGGCCGGGCGGCCAGCCCCCCTTCGCTCGCGTGCGCGCGGGCGCCCCCCCTCGGCGCCGGTAGCGGCCGATGCCATGGCGCAGTCCGCCCTCGGCGGAGGGGGTGATCACGGCAAGGGGCGCGGGGCGGGGACTTCCGCCGCCAAGCCGGTCCCCGGGAAGGGGCGCGCGCCGGCCAAGGGGGCGGGATCGAGGCCCGCGCCCCGCGGCGGCGCCGAGGCGGGTGCCGAGGCCCGCGCCCCGCGGCGGCGCCGAGCCAGCTGCCCCCCCTGCGCTGGCCCCCGTGCCGCCGACGCCGAGGCTGGGAGGAGGTCGGGCCTGTACCCCATGCAGGGGGATCTTGGAGGAAAAATGAAACATACCCCAGAGATGCTCACGGGATGCCCGAAAATACTAAAAAGATAGTCCCCTGACTTTTTCTTCTTTTTGTCTTTTTTTACAAAAAAAATATTTGATTATTACCCCTGTAGAAGGACAGGCCCGACTTAATGCTGGGACGACAACGACGACGACGACGACGACGACGACGACGACGACGACGACGACGACGACGACGACGACGACGACGCTGTAGTCGGCTGCGCGCAAGGTGGGCCCTGGGCAAGAGTGCCCTTCGGTGCGCGGCTTTTTGGGGGCCGCGGGGGGGCCAGGCACAAGCGCGCACGACGGAACCATCGCATCGCCTTCGGCGATCGGGGGGCCCCAGCGGTCCCGCACCACAGTTCCCACCGGCGAAGGGTCACTCGCACGTGTAGTCGATGCAGTGCACCGCGAGGGGCCAGAGGGGGCGAGGATCCCTTCGTCCCTTCGTCTGTCACCGCGCAACACTGGCTGCCGGGAGCTGGCGGGCGCGGGGCCGGCAGCACTCGCTGAGGCGCTGGATGGAAAATCCCACTGATGGAGGACAGGCTGTTTTCATGATGTGGTTCTCGCCTGAGCGCCGCACACATTCGTCTAAAAACATTGCGGGAGTTTCACGGATGGAGGGCGGTCACTTTTCGAAATGCGTTCATCGCGTAAGCGCCGCGCACATTCGTGACACGAGCTTACAATTGTTTCAACGAGTCTCATAGTTGACGTCGCAGAAGAACGGTTCTGGCACGATGTAGGACGGTCAGGGCGGAACGGTCACATTGATCCGCGGTGCTGCAATCCGAGCAAAGGTGTTCTAGCACGATTCCGGATCGTCAAAACGTAAAGGTATCAGTGATTTGCGGCGATGAAGTCCAAGGGAAGTGATAATGAATCCTTGCAGGGACTCGTGACGAGGCAACTTGGAGGGAGGGCTTATTGCAATGTCGCGGATGGGTCATTGGTTTTACACTAGTCCTCCTCCTCCTCCTCCACCTCCTCCTCCTCCTCCTCCTCCTCCTCCTCCTCCTCCTCCTCCTCCTCCTCCTCCTCCTCCTCCTCCTCCTCCTCCTCCTCCCCTGGGGGGCGGGCTCGTGGGGGAGGCCCAGCACCAACAGCAAGCACACCGCCCGTGGATCTGCAACGGGCCCCCCCCCCCCACGAGGAGCCCAGGCCTCCGTCGGCGAGGAGCGGGCGACCGGGGATCGATGCCTCTGCGGGCAAAACTTGTGTCCATGTCCACTGCAGCTTGGCGTTTCGGACTTCCTTCCCCGGAAAGCCGAGGAGCACTGGATTTCACTGGATGTGGATAGAAACCACGCCCCTACTAGAGGCTCGGATTGTTAACCATATCCAGTGCGCCTCGGCCTTGCGCCGCCCCTTCCACGAAGGTCCAAGACGCCCTGGATGTGGATGTAACTATTGCCCGCAGCTTTGGGGGGACGAGGGGTCACAGAACCATAGAAACTCGGAGGTCCGCGCGCATTTCTCGGATCCGCGCTGGACCCTCCTGGCCGCGACGCCCTGGATATGGATATAACTATTGCCCGCAGCTTGGGGGGACGAAGGGTCACAGAACCATAAAACCTCGGAGGCCCGCGCGCATCTCTCGCATCCGCGCTGTGGACCCTCCCGGCCGCGCTGCCGGCGCCGCCCCTGGCGCGCCGGCAGCGCGCCAGGGAGGGGGGTCCAGCGCCGATCCGAGACCTCCGAGGCAGACCTCCGAGATCTTATGATTCTGTCATCCTTCCTTCCCTAATACAGTGGGGGCTCGGCCACAAGAAACCTCCGCAAGAAACCCAACCCTGAAAGCTGCGATCTGTTCCATGAAGACCCACATGTGTCGATCGAAGATCGTCAAGATCTGATCGGGAGCCCATCGAAGTCCCAGAAACCCAAGGCACCCTGGCAAAATCCAGCTGGTTTCTTGGCACGCGCCCCCACTGTATGCTCCCCCCCCCCCTCCGAGCCACCCCCCCCCTCCCTGCCGCCGCCCCTGACCTCCGGCGGGCGGGCCGGCGGAGGAGGGCCCCCCCCGCCCCCACGCCCGAGGCCTCCAGGGCCGCGAGCTCGCGCCCGCTGCACGCCACCACCGAGACGAGCATGGCCGGCCCAGGCGCCGAGGCCCCAGCTCTCCGACGATCGGGTCGGGCGAAAGGGGGGGATAGCAAAGGGGGGGGGTTTGAGACTCAGCTCACGCATAGCTGATTTTCCCGGCGCCTCCCGGCGCCGGAGGCGGCCACGGTATCGAGGAATGGGCCCCATCGGTGAGGCCGAAACCAGCTGCATGCAGCAAATTTCGTACCCCCCCTGTCCCAATCCCCCCCTTTCGCCCGGCCCGAGACGACGGCCAATCACGGGGTCTCCCCCTCCGCCTCGGTTCCCGGGGCCCGCCACCGCGGGCATCCAGGAGGGGCCTCTCCTGGAAGCCGAAGTGCGCCCTGCAGGGGGGGCGGCTGGAACCTATAACCTCGGGGGCCGCGTGCTCGCGTCGCCGGCTGTCCGGGGGCTGGGGAGGTCCGCTCCGCTTGGGCAGCTCGGGCCAGAGGAGGAGGAGGAGGAGGAGGAGGAGGAGGAGGAGGAGGAGGAGGAGGAGGAGGGGGAGGAGGAGGAGGGGGAGGAGGAGGAAGTGCGACGCCCTCCGCAGAGGGCGAACTCCCCCGCCACTGGCAGGCGTACATAACTGCGCCCTCCCAATGGCCGAGGCCGGCAGGGCGTGGGCACCTTCGTGATTATAGGGCGCAGCAGATTGCCCTTGGCCGGGCACGGCGGTGGTGTGCAGCCGCCGTCTGCGCACGCGTGCTCCGGCGAGACCCGGCAGCACTCTTGACTACCTACCAGACCACCCCAACCTAACCCGAAGACCCGAATTTCGGGTTGGGGGGGGTCATGGGCTCCATGTGTTTTTTCGATGTTCCCGGACCCCCCCCCACTAGAAATCGAGGGTAAATCTGAGCCTTCGGGTTGGGTTGGGGTGGTTTGGTGGGTGGAGCACTTTATGCGGACACCAACAGGTGCCGGTGCCGCTGCTCGCCGGACCTCTCCGAGGGTGCACCTCTGGCCAGAGTCTCGGCTCGAATCCGGCGGTGGCGACGGGGGCCTCGAAGGACGCCCCGAAGAGCGAAGGACGAGGGACGGATACATACTGGTGTGCGTGTGTGGGTGCCTTTTCCCCCTCTGAACTTGCACGAGGTCTGGGGGTTGCCGAGCCAGGGCCCCCAGAGGCCTCCAGGAGGGAGAGTACAGGCCCGAGGAGCAGCTGCGCTCTGAGACAGCACGCCGGCAGCCTCGCCGCAAGCAGCCCAGGGCGGCCAGTCTGGCGGCCGACTCCTGCCACGGACCCTCGCGTGGGGCGTGGGGGGGGAGCAGAGAGCATCAGCAGAATCGGAACAATCTGCGAGACCACAACTGGCACCAGAATCGAAGCCCTGAACAGCTCCACTGCATGAGATGACACACCAATCAATCAAAAACACCGTGCCTGCACGACACATCGGCCGCTGGCTGGAGGCTTCTGTCCAGACCAGGGCACGAGAAAGCAAGGCCAATTCAGAAAACAAAAACCGTTTGCTGGCGGCAGTCTTCCGCAAGCGCGGGCAATAGCGCCGAGGACTGAGAAATCGTATCAGATCGTCCACCTGAGGGGCAGGGATAGGTAAAGGGAGAAGACACATGGGATCTGAAAACTGAGTCGGCTCTGACCAGCTTGCAGAACACTTGTGTAACCTGCGCGAGAGGCCGCCCCGTGGTTAAGGAAAGAAGAGGAAAGCAGCACGGGGGGGAGAGCAAGAGGAGAAGCAGCAGCAGCAGCAGAGTGCAAAACCCACAGGACGAGCTCTGACCACCTTGCAGAACACAATCCTCCAATCGCTTGTCCCTTGGAAAAGGTCTCTCTATCGCTGCTCTTTGGTCAGCAGCGCGGCGCCCTCTGCACGGCATGCCGCTTCTGCGCAGCCAGGCGCGCCCGTGGACCTCGCCACGAGGTCCGCGGCGCGGCGCCGCTGCCGGCCCCGAGAGGACGCAACGCGCACGCAGAAGCTGGCAGCGGGACACCTTTGCACCGGCGTCAAGTCGGGCCCGTCCTCCTACAGGGGGATCTTGGACGAGAAATATAAAACAATCGAAACAAGTCCCCCAAATTGGTCAAACAGTACGGAAAAAAAGTCCCCAGACTATTGTTCCCCGTATCTTAAGATGGTTTTTTGTTATTACTTGGGCGCCTCCTACTTCTCCTCCTTCTCCTTCTCCTCCTTCTTCTCCTCCTCATACCCAGACCTACTCATACACAGACTTACTCACACTCAGATTGACTCATACCCAGACTTACTCAGACACACAATTACTCACACTCAAACCTACTCATACTCAGACCTACTCCTACTCAGACTTACTCATGCTGAGACTCACGAGCGCCCCGTTCGCTGCCGTTGTGTAGGGATGTGTCAAGCAGTTTGCCTGTTTCGCAGGATGTCTCGAACGAGTCGCTCATTTTCACGTCCCTAAGGGGAACCGCCGAGGGGTATTGCAGGGTCCCGTTCGCGGCCGTTTTGCGGGGTTGTCACAATCGGTTTGCCTGTTTTCTGTGCCGACATGCTTCGCTTTCGGAGCAGATTTGGAGGATGTCTCGAGCGAGGCGCTCATTGTCACGTCCCTAAGGGGAGCCGCCGAGGGGTATTGCAGGGTCTCGTTCGCGGCCGTTTTGTGGGGATGTCACATGCGGTTTGTCTGTGTTCTGTCCCAACATCCTTCGCTTTCGGAGTAGAGTTGGAGGATGTCTCGAGCGAGGCGCTCATTTTCACGTCCCTAAGGGGAGCCGCCAAGGGGTATTGCAGGGTCCCGTTCGCGGCCGTTTTGTACGGATGTCTCAAGCGGTTTGCCAGTTTTCTGTCCCAACATGCTTCGCTTTCGGAGCAGATTTGGAGGATGTCTCGAGCGAGGCGCTCATTCTCATGTCCCTGAGGGGAGCCGCCGAGGGGTATTGCACGGTCCCGTTCGCGGCCGTTTTGTGGGGATGTCTCACGCGGTGTGCCTGTTTTCTATCCCAACATCCTCCGCTTTCGGAGCAGATTTGGAGGATGCCTCGAGCGAGGCGCTCATGCTCACGTCCCTAAGGTGGGCCAGATTTTAAGGATGTCTCGATCGGTGGCCAGATTCGTGGGCACAGATTTTCCTCAGGATGCCACAGGAGGCTCAAATAAGCCCCAGGAGGCCCCAGGAGACCACATGAGGTCCCAGGAGGCATCAGGAGGCCACAGAAAAAACTCAAGAGGCCACAGGATGTCCCAAGAGGCTCTAGGAGGCCCCAGGAAGCTCTGGGAGGCCTCAGGAAGCCACAGAAGGCCCCAGGAGGCCAGAGGAAACGCCAGGACGCCTCGGAAGGCAACAGGAGGCCCCGAGAGGCCCCAGGAGCCGGAGGCCTCAGAAGGCAACAGGAGTAGCTCCAATCCCATGTGTTTGACGTATGCTCCTATCGATTGGGCCTCACCTGGAGCACGAATCCTTGCTGTTGTACGCATGTTTCTATGGATTGTCCTTCTCCTGTGTACTTACGTTCCTATAGGGCCTCTCCTGGGGCACGAGTCCTAGGTGTTTTACGCGTGTTCCTATAGATTGCCCCCTTCTCCTGTGGCTCCAATCCGCAATGTTTTATGTACGTCTGTTGCTATAGATTGGGCCTCTCCTGGGGCACGAATCCTCCCTAGGAGGTCCTAGGAGGCCCCAATAGGTTTCAGGAGGCCCCAGGAGGACCGAGGTTCATGCGCAGAGACGCGCTCGTACTACTGAGGCTCATTCGCACTCAAATTCATTCTCAATTAGATTCATGACCAGACCGTCACAACTGAAGCCCGTTTACATTCGAACGCTCTTGCGCCTAGACACTCACGGCGGACAGGTCCATGCGAATAGCAATAAACTTACTCATACTCAGACCTACGCATATCCAGATCTACTCCTAGTCAGACTTACTCATGCTGAGACTCACTCATATCGACACTAACTCATACTCATAATTGTTCCTAACGGACTCATAATCAGAGGGAGACTCAGAAATCATAATCAGATCTACTCATATTCAGACCTACTCATAATCAGATCTACTCATATTCAGATTTACTCATGTCGAGACTCACTCATGCCCAGACTTACTCATACTCATACGCAGACCCAGTCGTACTCATAGACGGACGTCCTCATACTCAGACCTACTCATTCGCAGACCTTCACATTATTGAATCGCTTCGCTCATTCCGCCGGCCCGTGATATGGCATCGCTGGTTTTTGTCTGTGTGTTCGTTGCCCATGTTGCGCTCTTGGGGGCGGGTGTCGTTCGGACGCGTTGCGTGGGGAGTTTTGATGGTGAAGCAGTTCCCTGGGGGTCGTCTCTCGATGGGGCGAAATAGAGTCGTCGTCAAGATGCTTCTTTGGGGGGCCTCTTGGGGTCTGTTGAGAGGCCGTTCGGGGGCGCCTGGGAGACATGTTTGAAGCCTTCTGGGGCTTCTTTTGGGCCTCCTGGGAGTCTCCTGGGGCCTCTTGGCGACATCTTGGGGCCTCTTGGAGGCCTCTTGGGGCCTCTTTGGGACCTCCTGGGCGCCTTCTGGGACGGAGGGCTCCATTTTTGAGTTCTCGGTATCCCTCCTGAGTCCCTCTTGGGCCCGTCTTGGGGCCTCTTGGTCCGTCTTGGGCGGCACTTGGGCCGTCTTGAGGGCTCTCTTGGGTCGTTTCGGCGCCGTCTTGGGAGCTTCGTGGGCCGTCTTGGAGCGGTCTTGGGGGCCTCTTGGGCCGTCTTGGAGCGTCCGGAAGCCGAAAAAGCCAGAACACAAAAAACATCGAAAAAAACAATGACAATCAACGATTTTGGCCTCTTGGGGCTCTCTTCGGAGGCCTCTTGGAAGGCTCTTGGGGCGTCTTGGAGGCCTCTTGGGCTGTCTTGGGGGCCTTTTGGGCCGTCTTGGGGTCATCTTCGGCGTCTTCGAGCGCTCTTTGGGCGTCTCGGGGGCCTCTTGGGCAGTCTTGGGGGCCTCTTGGGGCACTCTGAGCGCGCTCTGGGGAGCCTGAGAGGCCGCACCCAGAAGGAAAACCATCTCTGAGTAGACTTGGTCGGGCGGCGGTCGGGCGGCGGTCGGGCGGCGACCGGGCGTTGGTCGGGGTACTTTTCGCCGGGGGACCCCCAGGGGCCGCCCCGCGCGCGCGAACTAGAAATACTGTTAATACTGTTAACCAGTTACCGGAGATCTTAGCACGCCCTGGCCCGTTGGGCCGGCGAATATGACTTACTCAACACACAGCACATTGTGAGGATGTCTCAGGCGGGGCGCTTGGAGAGCATATTATGAGGATGTGTCAGGCGGGGCGCTGAGAGTTCCCCAAGTCTCCCAAGTCTGTCAGGTCTCCTAAGTCGCCCGAGCCTCCCAAGCTTCCCAAGCTTCCCAAGTCTCCCAAATGTCCCAGGTCTTCCATGCCCCCCCCCCCAAGTCTCTAAAATCCCCCAAGTCCCGCAAGTCTCCCAAGTCTGTCAAGTCTCCCGAGGCGACCAACTCTCCCAAA